GACGTTGGTTTTTTCGCTCTATTTCGTGGCCAGAATTTGTTTTGTACTCTGATGAAGATTTAATTTCCTCATGTTTACCATATCTGATAATTGAAAAATTTCTCACGTTGAACTTCATATTGTTTTCTGCAGCCCACTGAAAGATTTGGTTGATGTCCGCCTGGAGCCTTGCAGTGTCTGCAATGGAAGACACTGCATGCAGATTCGGGTGTCATCTGCAAAGGAAGACACGGTGCTGTGGCTGACATCCTTGTCTATGTCGGATATGAGGATGGGGAAAAGATGGGAGCTAGTACTGTGCTTGTGGAACAGAGCTTTTCACCGTAGCTGCTGGATTTTACTCTGTTGACGACTACTCTCTGTGTCTTTTAGTGAGGAAATTATAGATCCATCGCCCGACTTTTCCTGTTATTCCTTTAGCGCGCATTTGTGCGCTATTACGCCTGGTCACACTTGTCGAAGGCTTTTGGCAAAGTCTGTATATTACATCTGCATTCTTTTTTCTTCTAGGGGCATTTAGGACCTTGTCGTAGTGATCCAGTAGCTGGGGACAGACAGGAGCGACCTGTTCTAAACCCATTTTTCCCCTGGGTTGTGTAACTGATGGGTTTCTAGATGGGTGGTGATCTTGCTTCTTAGGCCCTTTAAAAGTTTTTTATGATATGGGATGTTAGTGCTTTTTGGTCTGTAGTTCTTTGCTGTTGCTTTCTGCCCCCTTTGTGGAGTGGGGCTATGTCTGTTGTTTTTAGTAACTGAGGGACGACCCCCGTGTCCATGCTCCTCTCCATAGGATGGAAAAGGCTCGTGATAGGGGCTTCTTGCGTTCTTGATGAAACACAGAGTTCCATGAGTTGGCCTGGGGCAGAGTGATGGGGATGTCATTTATCGCCCGTTCGAAGTCATTGGCGTCAGGATAACATCGGATAGGCTTGTGTTAATCAAATTTTGTGGCTCTCTCATTTAAAAAATTCATTTTGATCTTCGACTCTCGTCTGGTTAGCGGCTTGTAAAATGAGTCATATGGGGGCTTGAGTAGCTCACTCATTTCCTTGCTGTCATCTGTGTAGGACCATCTTGTTTAAGTAGGGGCCCAATATGGGCGTTGTTCTCGATTTTGATTTGGCATAGGGAGAAGAAATACTTTGGGTTTCTTTCGATTTCATTTATAGCTTTTAGTTCTTCCCGCGATTCCTGACTCCTAAAGGATTCTTTTAGCTTTAAATTCGATGCTTGCTATTTCTCTGACAGTGTTCCTGCGATTTCAGATATATTGACCTCTTTTAGCCGCTCTGTTATTCTTTTCCGTCGCCTGTAAAGGGAGCGCCTGTCTCTTTCTATTTTACATCTACTCCTCCTTTTTCTTAGAGGAATAAGCCTTGTGCATACATCGAGTGCCACCGAGTTAATCTGTTCTAGGCATAAGTTTGGGTCTGTGTTGCTTGTATATCTTCCCAGCTTATATCGGTTAGGACTTGGTTTACTTGGTCCCACTTTATGTTTTTGTTATTGAAGTTGATTTGGTGAATGCTCCCTCGTGACTAGTCTCATTATGTCGGTCTGGGGCTCCTCGCATACATGTCTGAACCTTCAATTATGTTGTGAATGAGTATATTGTTTTTGATATGGTGACATTTCTTATAAAGATCATCATTGTTTGTGAATATGAGGTCTAGTGTATTCTCCAGTCTAGTAGGCTCTATTATTTGCTGGTTTAAATTGAATTTTGTGCAGAGATTTAAAAGCTCGTGTGAGTGTGAGTTTTCATCAGAGCTGCCTCCTGGTGTTATTACTGCAACAATATTATTTGCTATATTCCTCCATTTTAGGTGCCTTAAGTTGAAATCCCCCAGGAGCAAGATGTTGGGTGCAGGAGCTGGAAGATTTTCCAGACAGTGGTCAATTTTTAACAGCTGTTCCTGGAATTGCTGGGATGTTGCATCCGGAGGCTTGTAGACTACCACAATGACTAGGTTTTGGTTCTCGACCTTTACTGCTAAAACTTCCACTACGTCATTTGAGGCATTAAGCAGTTCTGTGCAAACAAGTGACTCTGCAATGTACAGGTGGTCTGGTGGAGGGATAGAGGTGGTCTGGTGGAGGGATAGAGGTGGTCTGGTGGAGGGATAGAGGTGGTCTGGTGGAGGGATAAGTGGTCTGTGGAGGGTAGAGGTGGTCTGGTGGAGGATAGAGGTGGTCTGGTGGAGGGATAGAGGTGGTCTGGTGGAGGGATAGAGGTGGTCTGGTGGAGGGATAGAGGTGGTCTGGTGGAGGGATAGAGGTGGTCTGGTGGAGGGATAGAGGTGGTCTGGTGGAGGGATAGAGGTGGTCTGGTGGAAGTATACTTGCAGGAAACCGAATCATTTTTTTTTTTTTACACAGGGTTTGACAAGGTTAAGGATCCCTAGCTTTATTGACAAACTATTTACAGGTTAAGGATTCCTAACTTTATTGGCAAGCTAAGAGCTGTTACCTACATCAGCTCATTTGAAAGCATTTTTAT